TATATATATATATATATATATATATATATATATATATATATACACATCAAGATAGATTTGGCTGTAATAAAATTTACTTTCTAAGGAAATTGAAAAGGGTAAAAAGGGTTTATATTATCATACAATAAGCCTATTCTCTACCAATTTTATTTAGTTGTCTGTCTATCATTATTGCAAAAAGCTTAAGAAAGATATTATGAATTGTCCACTGATTTGAATTTAAGGTGGAATCAATTTTCATCTCCAGGTTTTAGTGTAATTACGTTTAAGAAAACATAAGGCTGAATAAACATAAAGTTCTTGGATTCTTTGTGTTTTTTAATTAATCACATTGGAAAGAGTTAGAATTTTCTTGTATATTTCATTTCTAATTAAGGCTTCCGCTTAATTAACAAACAAAATATCCTAAAAAAGCAGAACTCTTACAGTCAAACAAGCACTTACTTTTACAAACAACATAGGCCCGTTTACGTCTAGGTGAGTCGTTTGCATAAACCAAACTGTACTGGTTCAGTTTCCTGTCAGTCCCCACATTATTCAGATCATGCAAACTCTTAAAGGCAATCTGTTCTTCTGTCTGACTCTCATCTATAGATGGCATGGAAGAACCACATGACAGCTCTTTGCACAGTTTCTCAGACATTTTTTCCTCCCAAGCATCTTCAGCCACAAAACCATTTTTGTCTGCCGTAGTAATGCTGACATATCCCCAGCAGGTGTTTGTCAGATTCACGCTGATGGTGCCTGTTGCAGCAAACAGAAATATGCAGAACGGACAATCTCTGTTAAAGTTTCCACAATACTTGATTCATAAATGAACTAGATCAGAACTAATCACTTCATCCAAAAGGTTGGATAGTAGGTCATGCCAAAAAAATAAACCATTAAAGAATTTATTTCAATATTTCATAAATGTGGTTTCACATTACCTGTACATTTCACTGCAGCAAAGGTCTGATTGGAGGCAGAGTTCTCTTCTAATTCACATTCAACGAGAGATTTGTTGCTAGATAAACAGTTATCAGGCTTAATTATTCCATCGGATTGGATGTTGGTGGATGAACTAATCTTGGAAGCATTCCCACAGTGCAACTCCTGGCATATCTTGCTTGCTAAATCTATGTTCCAGGTCTGATTAGACCAAGAGAGCGAATATTTTTTCTCCTTGTACATGATCCCAACAGTGCCAGAGCATGGCTGATTCCCATGCAGGAAAAGAACCTTATTCTCTGTAAAGAAAAGAAGGGGGGTTGGGGTCATTAAGTGTCAGTCGGGGCTCCTATTTCAGAAGGAACTATTAAGCTCCTCTTTTTTAGGACTAAAGATCAAGGAATTAAGGAAGATGAATGAAATGTTTCTTAAATTATCATTCCTTTAATGAGTCAAGAACAGTTTGGATTTATAAACCATATTCATGCAAGTTTGGAAGTTAGAAAAACAATATTAGAAAAAGAGCAACTTCAAACAGGTTCAGTCAACTGTCACTTAAAAAAGTCACTTAAAAAAAGAATAAATGTCTTTAAATAAAACTGACTGAATCTGCAAAGCTATCTGCAGGAAAGTTTATACGGCTGTTATATTTAAATCAAGAGTTCATCACGGGACCGCCAAGTTCATTGCATGCCGCTAACAAACTTATACAACACAACTCCAATCATGCTGGCCGCTCCGTCTGGATTATCTGTGCTGTAAATGGGGTGTTTATAAATGCTTTTAGATTCAGCAATGATAAAGCTAGCATGTTTCCTCGGAAAGAAAAGTTCAAAATAAATCAAAAGAGTTAAAAAGCATCATATAGATTTAAAGATAAAAGGAGAAAAACTCACCCGGACAGGTGATGTCGATGGATTCATAGCCCTTGGGGTTGGACTGCTGTTTATTTTTTGATATGCAGTCAGATATCTCTGTTTTTGAGTCACATTTTTCCAAAACCAGGAATTTCTTATTACTGTTTTCAACATATTGAGAGCTCCTTTTTGTGCCGTTCTCAGTTTTTCTCAGTTTTTCGCAGACGATATTGGACAGATCAGAATTGTCAGTAGGAGAACGAATAGCTGTTTTCCACTCGCCCTCATACTCTACTTCCAGTGTTCCAGCAAGGTGTCCAGGACCACCCCGTAGGTTTACACTCACACTCTCTGTGTCATGGAGAGAAGACATTTTTGAAAGACTTAACTTTTTCTAGACTAAGAAAACAGCAGTTATTTGGATCATTGCTGAGAAACATCAGCATCACACCCAAAAGGTGAATCCTTTCAAAGACTGATCTTACCTGAACAGATAACATAAGGGACGTTTGAGCATTGTGTATCACTTTGATGCTTAGCTCTACAGTGCCACAGTGACGACTCCGTCCCACTGCATTCCACATGGTCCAACATCGCTTTTCTTGAAACACTAATCATTTCGGTTCCAATGTTCTAGAGAAGCAGATTACAGACTGATTGTGTTACTAATAAAAAGGAGTAGTCTAACCATCCATCCATCCATTTTCTGACACGCTTAATCCCAAGAGGGGTCGCGAGGGGGGGCGGGTGCCAATCTCTAGCTGTCTATGGGCAAGAGGCGGGGTCCACCCTGGACAGGTCGCCAGTCCATCACAGGGAAACACAGAGACAAACAACCATTCACACACACACACACCTAAGGAGAGTTT